GTGTTCTGTTAGTCATGTAAGAACCAGTCTAACGAAACAAAATATCTAACATGCTAACAATACTTACTAGCATACAATACACAAAACTGATTAAACATTGCACAAAGCATGAAGAGGGTTGCTATGATGAATCTTAATAATATCCATTCACCTCTCTCTCTCTCTCTCTCTCTCTCTCTCTCTCTCTCTCTCTCTCTCTCTCTCTCTCTCTCTCTCTCTCTCTCTCTCTCTGGGTGCCTCTGTCTGTCTGTCAGTCTGTCTCTGTCTGTCTTTCTATCAGTCTGACCGTCTGTCTATCTGTCTGTCTGTCTGTCTGTCTATCAGTCTGAATGTCTGTCTGTCTCTCTCTCTCTCTCTCTCTCTCTCTCTCTCTCTCTCTCTCTCTCTCTCTCTCTCTCTCTCTCTCTCTCTCTCTCTCTCTCTCTCTCTCTCTGTCTCTCTGTCTCTCTCTGTCTCTCCCTCGTGATAATGGGCACAGAAATCAACATTGTTTGTATGTTAACACTACAGTTCTGTGTAAAAACGAGGAAATTTTAAGGCATTGGATGAAATATGTTCCTGCGTCTGTCTTCTTTCTCTCTCTCTCTCTCTCTCTCTCTCTCTCTCTCTCTCTCTCTCTCTCTCTCTCTCTCTCTCTCTCTCTCTCTCTCTCTCTCTCTCTCTCTCTCTCTCTCTCTCTCTCTCTCTCTCTCTCTTCTCTCTCTCTCTCTCTCTCTCTCTCTCTCTCTCTCTCTCTCTCTCTCTCTCTCTCTCTCTCTCTCTCTCTCTCTCTCTCTCTATTTTTATTTTGCGTGAAGATTGAGGTTTTCAGATAACTATAAAGAATAATATGTTGGTGTCAATGCCAAACATAGTACATTTTCACTGAGACTATCAAAATACGCATAATATTGTGCGTCACATGGTATGTATTGAGTAATAATTAAGAATAGAATGGAACAATAAAAAGGCGTATCTGTTTCTGTTGATGGTAAGTCATGCATGACGGTATTTCAGTATATCGATGAATCATTAACATGAACAAAGACACATTCAATCCCTTAACGTATCACAAAAGACCATTTGTGACTCGTATCGTTAACATTTCTGTTAAAAAATTGGATCTATTTTTATTTTGCGTGAAGATTGAGGTTTTCAGATAACTATAAAGAATAATATGCTGACGTGTTAATGCCAAAATAGACATTTTCACTGAGAGATCAAGAAATAAAATTAATGTTTTGACTTACATTCTAACAGAAATACTGTACCTTATATTTAGCTATGTGAACAGCATTCATGACACCAGCACATGATAATATACGCATTGTTTTTACCCCACACGCGCGATATCCAATATGGGTGTGGGCGTATTTGCATTGTGATCACGACATCACCGGCGATCACCATTTTCGCTGGGCATATTGGGTCTATGGACCTACACAACCCTATTGTTTTTCGTCACCGCGCGATATCCAATATGGCGGTTACGGCCGCCACAATTGCATACCGCATATTATCTCATTATTATTACCGGTCATCACCATTTTAAATGGAGATGTTGGGACTATGGACCTACACAACCCTATTGTTTTTCGTCACCGCGCGATATCCAATATGGCGGTTACGGGCGCCATCTTGAATTTGCATTCCGCTCTTTATCTCAAGAACGACATCACCAGCGATCACCATTTTCGCTGGGTATGTTGGGCTTATGGACCTAAACAGCCTATTGAGGTTCTTCACAATCTCAGCCCTGCACCCAACTTTATAATAAGACTGTCGGGTATTGCCCGCGTTTGCGAAGCTATTTTTATTTTGTTCTTTGGGAACGTAACATTACTTACTTTGATTGACCAAGACTTACATGGCGGGTTTCGTTGATGAAGTAGAAGACGATTACCCTTCCGGAACACCTGGTCTTATACTCCTGGTGCTTTTTAAAAGGTCTTGGTTTAAAGTTTTTTTATGCCCCGGATAGTAAGATCGAGGGTTTAGTGCTTTTGTGTTGTCTGTTATTGTGTGTTATCAACTAAAAACTGTTCCATAACTATTGCACCGTAAGAGGTAGGGCTTTCATATTTGGCATGCGTGTGCCTTGCGACAAGATCTTTTTGATGGTAACAAAATGTTTGACCATGTGACCTTGACTGTGACCATTGACCTACATTTGGGAAACCTGATTATTGATTTTAATGTCATTCTTTATTCCCATTTAGCCCACATTCTATTTTACAGGTAAAAAATGTGGGCTACAAGGAACTGGTGTGTGTTTAACAACAATGGATTTTAATTGCCCTAAAAGTATAGTCTCTTTTATAAAAATCAGTATAGTTTACATGATATATGTATATAAGGGTGAATTTCTGATATTTTCTTATATATTTTTTAACTTAAATACATTGCACAAATATTTCACCAAAATTATAAATATTATCGCTTTAACAGCAATATTGAAATAAATAGCACAGTAAAACAATACATTCCCTCATTACATCAGTTTTCATTTTTTATTATATCT